CTGAATGATTGCCGAATGGCATGAAACTTGAAGTCCCATAAAAAAGTCGTATTTTTCTCATTTAAATATTTAATACATATATATATATATATATATATATATATATATATATATATATATATATATATATATATATATATATATATATATATATATATATATATATATATATATATATATATATATATATATATATATATGCATATATATACATTCTATGATTTTGTTTGATTTTCTTATTTTTCAAGTTAAAATCGATTTAATTTTTTTCAAACTTCCCCATATTTAATATACAAATTTTTATTAAACTTTGATTTTTATTAAACATTAATTTTCTTCACTTTTAATTTGATTTTTATTGAGATCAGATAAACATGCTTTTTACAACTAAAATTAAATGTGCTTTTTTGGTGCTTTTTAGTTACTTCAATACATTTTATTGTTGTTTATGTTATCAGAGGGGTTAATAATAACAACAATTTGTAAAATTGTCAAACTGATATTGATTTGGGTAAGTTTACAGATCAATTTTGATTCTGGTTGGAACTTCGTTGAAATATTTAACATAAAAAATCTCAGACTGTTATACATTTACATTTCAGAATATTTTATACTTCTCTGTACTAATAGCTATATTTCCTTTTAAAAAAAGTAACAGAAAGAATGAAAAAACTTATTGGAAGTTGTTGTTAAAAAAAAAAGATTATTCTGTTGAAAAAAAAAGATTTTGCTTCTCTATTTTTCTAAGTTAAAAGTGTTATGCTTCTCATAAAATTTGAATATGTATAATGTGATCCAGCAAGTATCTTAGACTGTTTGCTATTGCTTTGCGTGTTTGTTGTGTTATCATATATTTATTTTAAAGTAATTGCATTTGAAAAACATTGCTATACATTTCTAGCACCTTTAAGTTAAATTATTTTTGTTTTATGGAAAAATAAGAATAAAAATAAAATTTGTGTTTTTTACTTAATATTATCATTACTTCTTCGTTATTAGAATTGTTACCTTTTGTTACTTTTAATTTTATTTAGAAGATTATAAATTATCATTATTATTTTTTTTTTAATTCTTTACAAATATGTGTATAGAAATTTTCTAACTATAATTAAAATTTGTCTCTAATTATATAATTTACTTTTGTTTTTATAAATTTTTTAAAAATTAAAATAACAGTGATTTATAAAAACTAGCAGTAAGCAACCCGTAATACGTGTTATTAGTAAATAAAATTTACTAATAACCGCCTAGAAACTACTTTAAAATAGAAATGCCTAGAAAATGACGTAACTCGACTAATATTAAATTATCGTATTCATATTATCATATAGTGAAATAATTGAAATGGTTGGTATTGGGCTTGAAGTCGTCAGTGTAAGAACTTATAATTGTAATGGAAATGAGAGAAATAGGGCGGACGTGTAATCGGCGCACCCCCCAATATTCGGTAACTACTGACAATTTACGAATGCGATTTATTTTGAAATCTATTGGTTAATAAAAAATAAAATGATTGGTGGAAAGTAGTTTTTCATTTTGGAAATTCCGCAACCCCGTTTTTAATCCACTTTATGTTAACTTCTCAAACTTTAAAGATGTCTCCTCTTACACATTTTATTGAACTAATTAATGAAGAAAATCTAATAAGACTTCTCCAGCACTACAGATTAATGGATACTCAAATATTTTGTGAATGCGGACATGCTATGAATGTTCAAAAGTATAATCGCTGCCAGGTAAATGTTTTTTAAATATTAAGTCGTGCTTTAATTAAGAAAAATAAATATTAAAGGTTTTAAGTTTAATAAAATTTTATTTGAGTAATAGTTATCTTTAGCTAAGCTTTGTTAATGTTTATATTAGCTTTATTTATCTTTGTTTGAGCTTTATTAATCTATAATTTAAAAGTCTAAAGCTAAACTAATATTTAAGCTTTTTAAGCTAATTACCTATATATTTTAAATAAAGAATAAACCAAGCTTAAATAGTATCTAAGCTTTATATTTTTTAATTTAGGCTTATGTAATATATTTTATTAGCTTTGTTAATCTTTTTTCGAGCTTGAGTAATGTTTATATTAGCTTTGTTAATCCATATTTAATATTGTTTACTATCACTATGTATCCTATCGCAAAAAGTTTTATATCACAAAAACATTATTAAACTTTCATTAAGCTTAGTTTTGGTTTTTTTGTGTGTGGTTATTTTCAGACAAAATATGTTTTTTTAAGCTTTGGGTTTTTATTATTTGTAGTCAATGTCAGAATAAGATTTATCAAATTTACTTTTCATTTAGGACAAACATATTTGGAGGTATTGTAAATGCAAGAAAACAAAAACAATTAGAAGTGGTTTTTTTCAAATTTGTTTATCACTAGACATAAGTAGTATTCTTCAACTTATTTTTTTATGGGTTGCGGAAGTGCCTGTCACAACAGCCAGGTGTGACAGGCACTTCCGGTGATATTGTTGGTATTTGCTAAAATACGTCAATTCAATGGTATCAGTACTTTAGAGACATATGTTCCTTTAAAATAATTGATGTTCCTGCCAGAAACCAGTTAGGTGGTCCTGGCGATATTGTAGAAATTGATGAATCGTTAATGTTTAAAAGGTTTAAGCAAGCTTTAAAATACTACAAGTAATATGAATAAAAATAGATTGTAAACAAGTTCTATTTTGTATATAAATTGTTTTATTACGCATGTTTGTGATAAAGAAATGAAACATTTGCTTTGATGTAACTTTAGTAGAAACCTTTTTTTTATAAAGTTAATAAAACTCCTTTGTTTTTGTCGACTTTTTTCCTTCCGTACTTTAAGTAAATCGCACTCGTAAATAACTCTGTACCGCAAGTAAACTACGTCCTAAATCACACTCGCAAATTGTCGGTAATTACCGAGTTTAGGGGGGGGGTGTGTGCGCCGATTACACGTCTGCCAGAAATAAAGCTAGACAGGATGAAATCAATCGTCGTCAAAATAAAAGAAATAGAGCTAGGCGAAATGAAGTTAATCGCCGTCAAACAAACAACCATGTCGATCATGCGATGAATCGAAATTTTTTATACAAATAATTATAATGCTTGTTTATCTTAAGCTTTATTCATAGCCACAATAGATCTTGTCAAATTGTGGTCTAACCTGTTTAAGAGTTGATGGACAAATTATGCATCGTATTGGTAACCTAAGACACCAGCAAGGTAAATCACCTGCATATTGTCAATTATGTTACCATAATTTATTTTACCATAAGGGAACCATCTATTTATTTACCGTTTATTAATATATCAGAAAATGAAAAGTCTTATACTGAGGATAATCATTTACAGCATGTTATTGGCTAATGTTCCTACAGGTAACAATGAATTCCTAATTCCTAAAAAAAAAAAAATGGTGAGAATTTAAATGTTTACTTAACTGAATTTCCTAGTCGTTGCACTATTGAGCGAATGACACGTGAACTTGGGACTACAGCAGAATTGCAATCACCCTGATGGAATAAAGGAAATTCTCATCTAACTCTAGGATTTGATGCAACAACGCAAAAGGGTGTTTATATAAACATCATTCACCTTACATCAAAAACTATAAGGTCTTTGCATTGGACCAATTATCAAGTGGAACAGCTATTGATTATAAAAGCCATATTTGTTGTGCAGTTGATCATCTAGCTTTTATTCACACAAATATTCATTAACTTTCTTTTAATGACTGTCGAAGCTCAATCATCTCATATATATCAAACGCAATGTCTTACAGGATTGCTGTAAGATGAATTTACAATTGCGAAACTAGGCAATACCTGGGGTAAAAAGCTCAAAGAGAATTCGTTTTCTAATCTTAGATATCGTGAAAAACGTTAATTTTGAAAAAAAAATCATTTTTTATTGTGGATTATTTAATGGTTGAAATATAGGTAATTTAAATTTAATTGCACCATAAATGCGTGATTTTTTTGTGATTCAATTTAGATAAATAAAATTATATTGCTGAATATTAAGATCTTGCTCCCATTTGGTTTTAAATGGAAATTTGTGGTTGTTGAAATTGCGTCAATTTATTAAAATATTTATGATTTACACCTTTTCTGGATCAATTTAAAAGAAATACGAATCAATTTAAAAGAAATACGAATCAATTTAAAAGGAATACAAATCAATTTAAAAGGAATACGAATCAATTTAAAAGAAATACGAATCAATTTAAAAGAAATACGAATCAATTTAAAGGAAATAAAAATAATTTTAAAATGAATGCATAAAAATTAATTTTAACGAAAATATACAGTTATACTTATTTTTTAAAAGTTGACCGGTGGTGGAAGTGACGACATTGCAAAGTATACAAATCTTCACCAAGCGCTTTCAGGTGGGTGTTTGAATTTAATATCCTTCATAGTGGGAATTTATTTTTATGTTGAGAATATACATTAACTTTTGTGAATTTATGTTTGATTTTAATATCCGTCATTTTGTGAATTTATGTTAAAACAGAAAAATTTTTATGATTCATACAAACATTAAATTGTTACTTACCAGGAAGCAATTTATAGCCTGCCTGTACACCTACCATAAGGCATTTAAAAGCTTAAAATTTAGAGTATTTTTAAAGTGTTTAGAATTTAGGAATCAAGGATTCTTTTAAGGAAATGTTATCCTATACTTAAATAAAAGGATTTTTATAAATTTACAAGAATTTTTGTGTGAGGCATTTTAGATTAATTAAGCATAAATTACCCCAGGTATACAGTAGTGACTGCATTGGCAAGTCTCACTATCCCGGTGAATTATTTTTATGATTCATACCAACATTGTGCCCTACATGCTTGCTAAACTTGATACTTGCTAAGGACAAAATAAATTTAATGCTTGCCAGGGGATGAAATAACAAAGGTATGTTTGCGAATTTTCCAAAATCGTAAATAAGGGACCTTTTTCAGACGGTGTTAGGACTGAAAGAGCGCCCTTTGAAACAATGTTTATTTTTCTCACATTCAGAATGACTTCATCAAGTGGCTATTGGATGAACCTCTTGCGTGACAACAATAATGACACTTCCACAAATGATGCAGAATCAACTGGCGATGTAAGTCAAGCGCCAATTTCAAGAAAGGGTGTTAAGAAGGGGACCAAGAGGGGCAAATATGAGAAATCAACGCCAACAGTTCGCCGTCGAGTCATTGCAGCTGCCGAAAACGGAGACGACTGGATATCGGTGGCGGTAGCCAATGGAGTCAACCAGTCTACAGCGTACGCGTGGGTGAAGAAGGGCACCTGGATCCAGAAACATCGAGGCGGCAGGGTTCAACAGCGTGTCAAGATTGAAGCTCACCACAAAGAAGCTCTCATCCACATGCTCGAAGAAAATCCTCAGCTGACGTTAAAAGAAATGACCGCCAAGTTGCTCGCAGACTTTGCTGTGAATGTGGCGTCCCAGACCGTAGCTGGACATTTGAATGGCCGCATGCTGTTCTCGCTAAAACAAATTTATCTGCAACCAGATGCTGCTAATTCGCTAACCAACAAACTCCTTCGTCGCGAGTTCCTTAAGATACTTATGCAGGCTACAGGCATTGGAAAATTTATAGCGTACGTGGATGAGAGCAATGTAAACCTTTTTAAACGACGTACTCATGGACGAGCCAAGGTGGGAAATAGAGCTGTGGTGAGATTGCCTTCCAGTAAAGGTGCCAATGTGCACATGATAGGGGCCCTCACACAAATGGGTTTGATGAACTTCATGTGTCGTCGAGGGAATTACAAGATGGCTCAATGCAATGATTGGCTCAAGCAGCTGCTTCAGGGAATTGTGGCACAAGGCATTCTTTCTACGATTATCGTTGTGGTGATCGACAACGCTCCATGTCACGCGAGAGCCAACGAGGCCGTAATGGAGTTCCAGGGTGCTACAATCCTCCGTTTAGCCCCATATTCTCCGATACTTAACCCCATCGAGGCTGCGTGGTCTGTTATTAAGTCGGAACTGAAGAAGAGAGAAGCGGCTTCATAGTTCTTGTTATGTAAAACCCTATTGTAAAGTTGAGGTAGTTCGAAAGCATCTGTTACAAGAAAGTACTTTTAATTTGATTCGTATTTCATTTAAATTGATTCGTATTTCTTTTAAATTGATTCGTATTTCTTTTAAATTGATCAGTATTTCTTTTAAATTGATTCGTATTCCTTTTAAATTAATCCAGAAATGGTGTAGAGATGCTTTCTCTATTTTTTTTTTTTTTTTTTTTTTTTTTTTTTTTATTATAAAATAGTATTTATTTACAATTATAAAAAATACATTATCTCAACATGTTAAAAATTAAAGTTTTACAATATATATATTCGTTTTACAATGAGTTGATTTTTTTTTTTCAAAAACGATAACAGAAGCTACAATAATAATAAAATAAAATAATAATAATACAAGTGTTGCCGTATATATATATATAGTTTTTTCTTTTCATATTTTTTAATTTTTTTTTTTTTTTTTTCCATATATTTTATTTAGCTTTCTCTATTTTTTTACATTTGGTTTTCAAGAGTGAATAATGAAAAGATTCAACCATGTTAGGTTAGTAAGTATCGATTAGTTTAATATATAAACAGTTCTTCGGGTTTGGTTCTAAAATTTAATTTTTTGTTAAGTTTTGCGTTTTCCGGTTGGCTTGATTAAGAATCTTATCACAAAAATAAAAATTGGATTGGCCATAATATACGACTGTTACTAAAGGTAGTATTGAGGTTACTTAATATCGCATAATAATAATGAAAATAATTTATATGAAGTATACCACATATTATTTATAATTAAGATATGTAAATTAAGTTAAATATGTATATATTTTTAAAATAATTTTGTTAACTGCATGATAAAGTAAAGTTTTATAAATATTTATTTAGTAACGTCAATATTAAGTAATTTTAAGTAAAACAGAAGATAAATCTTCAGCGGCTGAATGTTCAGCCACTGTTAACAAACTAAGATTGCTTATGTAGGTACGTGAGTAAAAATTTTAAATTGTTTTTGAATATTATAATGTTATATATCTTTAGTAAGAGGATTATTACAGTATTTTAAAAGTGATAAAATTATCAAAATCGAACAATTGCCTCAAAAGTCATGACGGTTTAAGTATCGATTTTTCGATATAGATATTTGTTGAAAAAAAATGTGGTCAAAATAATGTTTTTCACTTATATTGTTACAACTTTGTCAATTCTTATCGAAAAACAAATATCTTGCCGTCAAAGAATAGGTGTAAGAGTAGGCTACAACTTTATGTTAAACTCTAACCACTGGGCGTTTTGGATGGTCAGAGGGGCTCCAAACCACCACCATGCTTAAAACGTTTAAAACCGAACACTTTTTTCTGAAAAAAAGTTTTTTTTGTTAAGACATAAGCAATACAATTATTAAAAAAGTTGTTATAAATTTATACTAATCCACCAAAATATTTGAGAGGTGTATGTTAGCAATGGAGGTGGTGGTGGTGGTTTGATACACCCTAGTATCAAAAACATCTTGATTTATATATATATATCTTCACCAAATGTTTAAAATTAGTATTCAATATAAAATTATGTTAAACAAGATCTTACGTACACAAGTGGTGTTTCCATTACGGGAGGGGCGTATGGAACCCTCCCCACCCCATCCTTAAAAAATGATAATTACTTTTTTCAAAGTTTGGATAATAAATTTTAAAATGAAATTATGAAATTGGAAATAAATTAAAAAATCAATTCATATCAGACAACCATTAAATACGGAAGATGAATGTAAAACTCATAGTCAATATGTTGCTGATGTTTTAAAGGGGAAAGGGGCAATCTAATGCCCCTTCCCCCTCTAACCAAAAATTATTATATAATTGGTTATATATTACTAAAAAAATTATACAACTACTGTTGTGTGGCTATAATCAAATCAATCGGCTATAAAAACATGTCATCTTTATAACCAAGTATACCAAATACCTATATTATTGTCTTTCATGCGATTCTCACATTAACAGGAGGGCCATACAGTATGGTTAACGAGCTAGCCATTTTTTTCGGTTAACAAATTTCGTGTTTCAAAATAAACAATAAAAAAATGTTAACGTAAAAAAAGTTATAATTTGTAACAATTTTTGAGATGGTTTAATATAATTTTTGTCTTGGCTTTTAGTGAATGATTATAATAAATAATTTCAATAATGAAACTACATTTTAATCATTTTTAACAATAGACACCACCTGAAGGTAAGCCAGAGCCATCTATTATAAAATTTAACAAGTCACAACACTTGCTGTAATAATTATCCAAGTCACAACACTTGCTATACATTTTTAGCTAGTCACAACACTTGCTGTATTAGTTATGCAAGACACAACACTTGCTGTATTATTAAATTAATTAAGTTGTAACTCACCGGAAACAACATCAGCAACAAGCTGGATCTTTTTCATGTAATAGTCAACAGCTTCAAAATCAGTTTCATCATCTTTCCAGTAGGAAATTGTGTAAATGAACTCCTTTTTTCTTTTGTTAACTTTTTCTACTCTACCGCTATATAAAATACTTTTGCATTTTTTTGGATCGTACCATTCATGTTCTACTTTCTTCCCAACATTTCTATCTGACATCACATCTTCTAAATCGAATAGTTGGCAATTGGACAAGTGCTTGTATGAATTAATAATTTCGTTAAAATTCAATTTGGATCTCTAACTTTCTTTTGTCTTTTTCATCCATTTTTTGGCGCTTGATTTTTTGTCTTTGGGAAATCTCATCTCATACTTTTCATCGCTGCAATCGATTTGTAAATCTGTTTTTATGTGCTACATTAATTGACCATTTAATAATCTTTTCTCTTAAACTTAAATCGAGAGTGTCTAGATAGTCGATAGTCCTATTCTTTTATGATCTTAGTTTGCAAGCGATATAGCAAATTGTTGCATTAGGAGCCCGTACTTTTGCATTGCTAAACATACCCATTAATTCCTCATTATATATGTTGTGAGACCTTGCACTAGCTGTTTCCTCTTTAAATGTCTCTGTCAAAGTAATGGAAAAATATCTATTATATTGTCTATTTAAAACATTTTCTACTGCAATAAGGCAGGCAGAAGTCATTTTAAAAAGCTCTTCATCAATAGAGCATTTACTTGTTACTGGTTCTAAAATATTTGGTTCTAGCGGCTTCTCAAAAAAATCTGTTTTTCTGCTAAACATATCAGCTGGATTGGATTTGCAAGTTTGAATAGTTTGTATAACATTTTTTACAACCTGGATACCTGGATACAAAAGTTGCTTGCTGTGATGCAACAAAACTTTTTCATCCAGGGTCCAGTATGAAGTTTTCCAAATACTGCAAGCACGTACATTTGTTTGATTGCGCTTGCACTACAAAATACAGTTAGAAGAGTTGCTTGTAAACTTTTACACTTTACTGTTCCAATTGTAAGATATTGTTTAAATTTACTGTGATGCTTTATTAAAATAAAACAAGTATGGAAAAGAATGTGAGGTCTGTTTCCACGATACCTAGGAATGATACCTTGTGGTAAATTATTATTATCTAAAAAATTTACAAAACCTTGTGGATCGCCTTTTACATCTTTAAATCTCATTTTGTTTATAGCTAAAATAATCAAAGTTGCCTTGCAGTCATTTCCAAACAATTTGCATTTCTCAATCTCTAGAGACTTCAATGCTGAACGACATGATGTGGCAATTGTATCAAGAGGGTGCAAATGGCAGTTCAACTCATTTAGACTTTTACCCCAGGTTGCACATACTTTGCTTATAGTAAGATGATTAACAGCAACTCGGTCAGACATTGTGTTAGAAATATTGTTAATAATAAAACTACGAGATTCGTTATAGCTGCATGAGTGAAAATGAGAATAAATAAAAGCCATATGATCTATGGCATTACATATATGGTTTTCATAATCATTAGCTGTTCCACCAGGTAGTTGGTCCAGAGCAACAACTAGGCATTTATCTTTTGACGTCAAGTGAATACTGTTAATACAAACACCTTCTTTTGTTGTAGCATCAAACCCAAGAGTAAGTTGACTATTTTATTGTAGCTGTATGACTGCGAATTTGTCGAGTATAATAATATGTTTGCATTTTTTTTTAAGTTCTTTTAATTCCGTCTTTGAACCTCTTATAATCTCTTCTTTTCTTTTAACACTTTGTCTTAAAACTTTTAGTTTGTATGGCATGATATTTAATTTAGATTTAACTATAGCTATATTTTTTCTGTATTTCTTGGAGGAGGTAGCTAATTGATTAGCCAAACGACATAACCGACTCTTCAATAGATTTTCTCCAGTTGTCATGTTTTGTCTACTGTCTCTATCTTGAACATGATTACTACAACTGGTTGTTGGTAAAAGCTCATAGTGTGTCTCAAATAAAAGGCTTTCGTGTTCAACTAAAGGTAAATTACTTGGCCTAGACAGGGCTGCTTGTGTCATTGTTGAGATTGATGTATTGCATGTAAACAGCTCATTGTAAAAATCAACAAAACATTTATAGTCCCTTTTAAAACTATGTTTCCATCGTTTTGCTACTTTCACTACATTTAGGATATGATTTGTGCAAGTCTTGAAGTTAAAAAACTCATTAACTTCTTCTACAGTTTTCTTATATAACTCACCGCTGTTAATGAAAACGAAAAGTACATGTCCGTTTCTACACTTAATGTTTGTATCATTACACAACTTATAGTTAGCATTTAAAATAGTGTTGATTGCTCCTTGAAATATCAACAATTTCTTTGTCGGGGCCATAACACCTTTATTTATGAAAAGACAAAAATAAACAAATACTCCTTTAATAATTACAATAGCATTTTCATCTTAAATTCAACAAGTACAGAAAATATTTTACAGTAAATATTCAAATGTATAACTTTAATTCAAAATAACCAATCCTTTTTCTATTTACTTAATAAAATAACATGCATACCTTTTACAGCAGCTGTAAGGTTGAAATTACGCTTTGCAAACCAATATAATCATTAACAAATTAAATTACTAAAAATAAATGGTATAACAACTTTAATATTACATTTACTTTTTGTTGCTATGCATTTTATGTTTTTTTTTTTTTGCTATATTTACTTATTGTTTATTAATTTACTTATTGTTTATTAATTTTAATAGTTATTGATATATTAAGTTAGCGTATTGGTATTACGTTATTATTAATTCACTAATGTATCAAAAACTATAAAATTAATATAGAAACAATAAGTAAATAACAGAAAAAAAATTTTTTTTTAATAATTTATTAACTTAATATTTTTTAACTTGCTATTCATATTACTAATTGCTATTCATGTTACTAATATTGTCAGAAATACTGCTGTTTATCTAAATCGAACATAAATTTGCCGGTTAAAAAAAATTAGAATATTTTGCTAAGACATTTGACAGGAGCATAGATAAATGACAAACTTAAAAATATATTATATAAGGATAGAACAAAAAAAAAAGCATGTTTGCTCTATTAAGTATGAAGAAACACAATAACTTCATCCCAGAAATTAATAGTGCTTAACACCAAAGTTAAAGTTAAAAACTTAATCCCTAAATTCCATTTATAAATAGGCATTGAAATAAAAACAAATTTTATGTAGCTATTTAATTTTTTTTAAAAAAACAAAAATAATCCGGGTGGACCTAGCATTGAACGTAAATATTTGCTATCCCACCCGGACCTCTTCTGCCTCTTCCACCTCTTCTTCCACGTTTTTTATAATGGGTCCCACCACCCTGGTATGGAGGACGAGACCATTTAAAAGATCTGCTGTCCTCCCCATTATGCCGCAACCAACGCCCAAATGATGCGTTGGTTAGCGTTGGTTAACGAGATCCATACTGAACATAATCTTCGTAAGTTCGTTCTATAATGACCATATTTAAACAATAAAACAAGTAATATCTAAATTAGAATATGCAAATGAAAATAAAAGTGGTTTAACAAAATGATTATAAACATAGATGATTTAAGAGATAAATCAAACACTGGGTAAAAGTAAAAATAATATTATAGTTTTTAATTATTTCGCTATCTTTAAATATACAAACTTTACCAGTTGAAGCAGATGATGAGGGTACTAAAAAGAATTTAAACAAAGACGTCATATATATATATATATATACACATATAAATACATATATATATATGACTTTCATATATGAATTCTGTATATATGAGTTATATATATGACTTATATACATGACAAAGAAGTCATAAATATATATAACAACATGTTATATAACAGTTGGGCTGAAAAGTTCGTATCGTTTCTAAGAAATGGCGCCACTAGAATTAAATTCATACCATTTTTAGTTAGTACCAACCTTGAAAAGATACGTGTAAAAATTTGATAGCTGTCAGATTATTAGTTTGTGATATACTGCTCTAGTAGTGACGCTACTTTTGTTATTTTGAAAAAAATGGAAAAAAAAGAATTGTGTGTTGATGAAACATTACTTTTTAATGAAAAAAGGTGCTGCCAATACCAAAAAATGGCTTGATGAGTGTTATCCAGACTCTGCACTAGGCGAAGCAACAATTCGTAAGTGGTTTGCAAAATTCCGTACTGGTCATATGAGCACCGAAGACGATGAACGCAGTGGACGCCCAAAAGAGGCTGTTACCGATGAAAATGTGAAAAAAATCCACATAATAATTTTGAATGATCGTAAAGTGAAGTTGTTGGAGATAGCTGACACCTTAAAGATATCAAAGGAACGCGTTGGACATATTATTCATAAATATTTGGATATGAGAAAGCTCTGTGCAAAATGGGTGCCGCGTGAACTCACAATCGATCAAAAGCAACAACGAATTGATGATTCTGAGCAGTGTTCGGAGCTGTTACATCGAAATAGAACCGATTTTTTTTGTCGATACATAACAATGGATGAAACATGGCTCGATCACCACACTCCGGAGTCCAATCGACAGTCAGCTGAGTAGACTGCACACGATGAACCAACTCCAAAGCGTGGAAAGACTCAACAATCGGCCTCAATGGCCTCTGTTTTTTGGGGTACGCATGGTATAATTTTCATCAACTACCTTGAGAAGGGAAAAACCATCAATAGTGGCTATTACATTGCGTTATTGGAGCGTTTGACGGATGAAATTGCAAAAAAACGACCTCATTTGAAGAAGAAAAAAGTTCTGTTTCATCAAGACAACGCACCGTGTCACAAGTCAATGAATACGATGCTTAAATTGAACGAATTGGGTTTCGAATTGCTTCCTCATTCACCGTATTCTCCAGATTTAGCCCCCAGTGACTTTTTCTTGTTCTCAGATCTCAAGAGAATGCTCGCTGGTAAAAAATTTAAGAGCAATGAAGAGGTGATCGCTGAAACTGAAGCCTATATATATATATATATATATATATATATATATATATATATATATATATATATATATACAAAATATAAAATGTTTTTTATATAAATAATAATGCAAAGTTGTTGGAGTAGGCGGAGGTGGCACTAAAAATAAAAGCATAATACAAAAACAAAAATTGTAAATATTTTTTTATATAAACTGAAGAATCAAAAATGCTGTATGTAACCTTAAAAGTTGCAGCAGATAAAGAAAAAAAGCATAATAATAAAAAAATTCTTAAATCAAGTTTCAAAAAGAGAAAATATACATCATTATCAACTGGCACAGATGACAAAAAAAGAAATTTGTATTTAAAGAAATAGGCATAATTAACTAAAATTAAATTCTTGTAAATTTTGCAATTACAATCCTATTGAAAAGTTCAGCTTATACACCTTACCAATTTGTTCACATGATGATGGCACTAAAAAATAAACATAAAATACAGCATCGTCTTAAATTTTTTAAGTTCTTAAAAAGTAAAGATATGTAAACCTTACCAGTATAAACAGCAGAAGATAAAATCAAAAAAATTAAAATACACAACCTTATCTTGCAATTATGTTTGTAAATTATTTGTAAATACTGGATTATATTTTTAATTTAAAATCTAAAAATTGTTATAAAAAATATATAACATTACAAACTAGAACAGACGGGAATGGCACTAAAATAAAAAAAAAGTATTTTATTTATTTTGCAATTACAATCATGTTGAAAGGTTTAGATTATACCTTACCAACTTGCTTTGGTGATGACGGCACTACAAAATAAAAATATAAAATTTTAAAGCACAGCCTTATACTGATAAAATAATGTTATTTGAAAAACCTGATATGAAAAAATATAGCAAAACCTTAAAATAATTTGGAAATTAAAATCATATAGAAAAATAAAAATATGAATACCTTACCTGTCTTAACTGATGAAGATGATACTAAAAAATAAAAAAAATACATTTCACAACATAACTGTGCAATTATTTGTAATTAACAATATATATATATATATATATATATATATATATATATATATATATATATATATATATATATATATATATATATATATATATATATATATACATATATATATATATATATATATATATATATATATATATATATATATATATATATATATATATATATATATATATATATATATATATATAAACTTACCAACAGTAACAGATGAAGATGATACTAAAAATTAAAAATACAAGAAACAAAATAACCTTAACTATTTATTATTTTGTAATTAAAACCATAATGTAAAGAAAAAACATTTAAACCTTACCAACAGTAATGGAAGAGGATACTAAAAAAATAAAAATACAATGCACAACGTATACTCACAATTATTTTTCAATTAAAATCATATTGAAAAGTAAGAATATATCGTCGCCTCAGAGCAAAAATGTTTAATCTACAAAATTTGCATTTTTCAGTGCAATGAAAAAAACTTAGTTTAGATATCACAAATCCAGGTGACATTCCATGAATTACGGTATTAGGTAGGTAAAAACTACTAAGTGAAAGTAATTTAAGCACGGGTTGCAATATTTTAAATTACTTTTAATTATTTTTTTTTTAATTAAACTTTGAATTATTTTTATTTTAATTAAACTATTTTAAATTACTTTAAATTCCTAAATGTTCAGATCAGGTTGCAGTATTTTAAATTACTAAGTAATAATGGTTTGTGGCATAAAATGTTTAGAATAATTTTGCTCTCAAATTTTTGTAGTTTGTTATAAAAACGTAAATGTTCTATCTACAAAAATATTAAAATAATCAAAATGGTCCGTAATAAAAACAAAGAAAATATCGAAAATATGAAAGCTAAGCTATTATTGATAGAATTAATGAAAGTGCATGTTAATTGCGAACATTAAACATCTAAACAGAATAGATTAAAAAATATCAAATCTTGCTGGTAACAGAATAGATTAAAAAATATCAAATCTTGCTGGTGAATTAACTAATTTCCATAGAGCAATGTTCGTCGATGTCAAGTTCTTTAGAATTTCTTGCACTGCATTTTGGAAGCTTAGTTACCAGACTTTCATAGTAAGGTCGACAATCAGCTGGAATAAATGAACAAAGTTTTAAGAGGTCATCCTTCTTATTTGCATCAATACCAGCAACATCGACTTAAGCAAATGGAATTTCACAGGTTTGAAAATTAATACTTCTTCCACGTTTTTTATAACTAACTTTAGACATATTATCATCATAAATGTGATCAGAAAAAGTAATCCGCATATTCTTTACATTGGAATTATTTCTTTTGTGTAAATAATGTGTTGTTTATTTATAATTCCACTGAATGTATTGGCTTTGCAGTACAGCGTATTTATTGCCTGGGAGTCAAAAATGTTACTCTGTCCATGGTTTGCACTGAATAAGGCTGTTTAGCTCTAGCAATTCTGATGCATGATTGGTATTGCGATGGGAAGTAAATATCTTCTTTACTACACTTTTTTTGAATGGAGCTATGAATGGAGTCACACTCTATCTGCGAGTGTCCACTCTCAAAAAACCGTTGTTCAACAATATCAACATAAGCACTTCTGTGTAGAAATAGCAAAATCATGGTGCTAATAACACGGTTCCTATTTTGACCCGCACATGTGTCGCTATACATTATAACTTGTTTCTTTAGCTTCATATCGATGTCACATAAGTATTTAAAAACGCATGAGCTAATTTATTTCGCACCCCTGGCAGCATCATGTTCTGTCCACGTGTAACAAAACCCTTCTTTAGATACAATATCATACACACTCATATTATACATATTGAGCTCTCTTAGGTAATAGGCACTGCCAACAGCATGTTTAGGAACTTTTAAAACTTGTTGTAAATCCATTGTTACCCAAACATTAAAAGGAAACGGATTTTCTTTTTCTTTGTTTTTGGTATCTCTCGCTTGCCCTTTTCTCAATAAATGCATCTTCAAATTAAGTTCATCGTCAGAGGGAAGCACACCACCGCAAACAATCTTTTTCATCTCCCTTCTACTGCACGTATCACACGCATCTTTGATTAGTGCATGAAATTTCAAATTATATTCAGGCAAGAATAGATTCCTGTAAACATTTTCTTTAACGGAGCTGATCATTTCCATCTCACATTTTCGTTTATACAATTCATACATTTTCTGTATTGACAATGTCGATTCCAGATACTCACAAGTGCTAGATAATCGGCAGTAATGGCTTTCAATACAAGGTAACTTTTCGATATGTTTTCGAACTCCGCTAAGCTTTTCATCAGTTGTTTTAGTCGCTGCTATTCGCTTAGGCTTTTTAGCTATTATTCCTGTAACTGATTGTTTCGATGTTTGCTGAACCATAGCAGCAGAAATATTGAGGGTGTTGAGGAAAAATGTCTTTCTAACCACTATGAGTTCGTTGTCAACATATGGTTGAAAATACTGCAGGGAATAAGTTCTTCTATTTTTACTAATAATTGTTGTATTTCTTTTTTTAACTAATCGCTTGGTATTTGAATTCAAAAATGAAAGTCTGCGAATTCTTTCGCCCAACTTCCAAAATGAAGAATGAATAATTTGTTGTTGAACTAGTTCTATCTTTTGAGCACAATTTTTCTTGCATTTCATATTATCGCATTGACCGGAAACCTTTCTTTTCTGGCCATTTTCCTTACTTGACTTTCGGTGAAGTATACCAACATTGTATTCACTACTTTGCTTAAAGCGTTTCCATGTCTTTACATTTTTGAGTCTTTTTCTCGATTTTTTTAGCACAGTCATTTCATTTTCAATGTTCTTTTTCAATACTGGAAAGGTGTTATCACTATTCAAAATAACTATACTGTCGGTTTCATTTTCAGCAACATTGGTAGTTTCACTGGTACAACTAGGCTGCTCATCGCTTGCGTTAAAATAACATTTTGAGACTTGCATTCTATTACAATCCGAACTTGCTATTGCTTCGACAGAAATTTCAGCATATGCGTTAGAATCTAACGTCTCTTCATTGTTATCACCATTACTATAGTCTCTTTTGTTATAATAAACTTCTAATAATTGTCTTGCTTCCATTCCGTAAGCCACTTACTTCTCACGATTATGTTCTCCGTAAGAAAGTCGTTTCTTTTGTAAACTTAATTAAAAATTGAAAATAATAAATCTCAACAAATTTGAATCATAACCGATTAAGAATAATTATAATGTTAAAAAGTATTATGACATAATACTTTTTAACATTATAAATAATAATTCTCAACAGATTTGAATCATAACCGATTAAGAATAATTATAATGTTAAAAAGTATTATGACATAATACTTTTTAACATTATAATTATTCTTAATCGGTTATGATTCAAATCTGTTGAGAATTATTATTTTCATACAATAATACATTGTACTAAGTCAAAGCATTATGTCATTATTAACAAGAGAAAATTATTATTGGCTAATATTATCGATTTTAAGCAGTACGCGTAATGCATTAATGATTAACGTGTTGACCAAAATTGAGTGATAGGTTTTAATAAGAAAATGTATTTAAAACCTACCACTTTTATTTAGCCAACACGT